TGATGTGCCTTCCCGGGATGAAGTGCTGGTGATCCTGCTCCCCGGGGACAGGCAGCCGGAGGCAGGGCGGGTGTGAGCAGCGCAAGATGAGATCACCTGCCAACAGCAGTATGGAAACTTCATCCTCCTTTGCTCTGAACCTGGAGCAGACTTTCAGACGCGAACTGCATGATCCTGGAAAGAGTCTCTGGCCTGGGAAATCCTTAGGTTTCCTCCTTTTTTTTATTCACCCCACCTCCCAGAAATGTCTAGACTAAGGAGCTGCATTTATGTCCTGTGAGTGGCACTAAGCCTCAGTGTAAGGGCATGGAAAACTTTTCCTCCAGCCACCCTATCATCATGGTAGCATCCCATTCAGGCTGAGAAATCCCTGCCTGAGCCTACAGCCCATAGTCTTCTTTCCCTTGATGAATAGTCAGTATTGCTGTTGCTGCCTACAGACTGCTCAGACCCTGGCAGTGTCCAGGAGCTGCAGTCCATGGCCTGGTTTTGTCTAGCACTGTATGGGGTGGCATTGCTGGGTGACAGGATTTGCTGGTAGAAGGGCTGTCTCCTCCGGTGGCGCCCATCTGCGCTCAAGGGAAGTCGTGCAGGCACTGTATCCATCCTGCAAACAGGGACAGAATGTCTCTGTTGGCTGCTGTGGCCCTGGACATGAGGCTGAACCTGTCTGCTGGCATGACCCAGCTAGCTTCCACTCTTCTTCCTTTCCCTCTACATTCAGAGGAAGAAAAACAAACAAAGACCGGGAATACTACTGCAAAACCCACAATGTACTGAATTGCCAGCTTTCAGGTCATCTCCGATATCTCCCACATATCTGTGTCTAGTCTCCATGCTCATTTGTGGTTATTTTTTCACTTCCCTGTATTGCCTTTTATATTTTTTTCCAGAAACTGAGGTGTCCATACCAACAACAGAGACACCTAGACTCAAAAAAACAACTGAGCCAGATTTTCATATCCTTGTCAGCCATGGAAGACCAGATGTTCAAAAACAGATAAGCACCCAACACATGCTCTTTCCAGTACCCCATCTGGAAACACCAGCCCCTGCCTTGCATGCTGAGTCCTGCAAATACTGATCTGAAAGGTTCCTTCATGTCCTATAATTCACCTCTTGGGGGATGTCAACAGAGAACCCACGGTCAGAAATAACTTGATGCTTCTCCCTCCATCAGCCAGGTCTAACAGAGGACAAAGGAAATGTTCTTCCTTATTCTGTTGCAGAGTGTCTAAGCTATAAAACGGGGCCAAATGGCCTCCCCCTGAGCACAAATAACAACAGGAGAAAGATCCATATGCAATCAACTGTAGGATGAATGTGCTTAGCTGATCATTCGTTTCCCTAATATTTTTTTTATGAATAGGCTTAACTTAGGCTAAGATGGGACTTTATGGTCCTGTAAGTCTTGCTCGTGTCAAAGCAAATGAACTAGCCATCCTATGGGGGAACTATCAATCCAATATATGTGTGTGTATGGGTGTGGAGAGTCAGACCTATTATACCTTTAAGAGCAAATTAGATGCTGTTCCTATGATTCATAATGCTATATATCTAATGGCATGACTCGTCATCTAGAAAATAAACGTTTTGAGCCAGTTTCTCATCTCATAAATTTCCCCTCTGGCACTGAAGGACATAAACTAAATGGGCTGACTCACAGGGAAACAATACAATTTGGATACTGTTAAATGAAAGATAAAATTGCCTTAGGGCACAGAGGGGTGTTGAGATCCCAGGAAGTGGCTGGCAAGCACTGGACGGGGTGTCGGGGGCCACTCTGCCATCCCCAGCAGTCAGGGCTGCTCCTGGGAAGCCTTCCATGGTTCCAGAGCTTAGTAGATTGGCGTGATCAGCATGGTGGTATCGGATGTGGAGATGGTTGCGTTGGAGAAGGTTGTGTTGGAGATGGTCGTCTTGTTGTACATGGTGTCTCCTGGCAGGGAGGAGGGTGTTTGCTGCATGTTTCCAGGCATGGCAGCAAGAAAGGACAGGAGGTGTGGAGGTGCCCACTCCAAGGCAGGAGGGGGGGGGTGGCCACCACAGACCAGGGAAGTCCCTGTGCATTTCCATCCACAGCTCTCGTGAAGGCTGCAGCTGCCCATGGGATGGGTCTCATCACCTTCGCTGCATCCTTTGTCCATTGTTCTTGGTCCTTCTGTGCCATTGGGCTCCTGGGTTACATGGCAGCTGCCATTCCCCTGGGTTTGTGGGAGCAGTCCCGTACCTCCCGAGCTGTGCTGTCAGGAGACAGAGGGGGAGAGGTTTCCATGCAGTTGCCACCCCCAGGAGGAGCAGATGCCTGCAGCATGTCTCTGGGCTGGGCTGGCCAAAGCAGTCACTGCTGCAGGGGAAGGCAGCATCCACTGCTGCTATTGACCAGGGCCTGAGAGCAGCCCTGCCACTGCCAGAGCCTGGGCCAGGCTGGGGAGGCGAGGGAAGGGAGTTGGGCTGCGTGTGAACTGGCTGTATCTGGCTTCAGGGCTGGGAGGACCAGAGCCCTCAAAGCTCACTGACCCTCTATTCCTCCTGGAGTTTCTGTGGAGCATGTGTGTTTTCCCAGGGAATGGGCTGGTGTCCCCATGGACCTTTGAAAGCAAGGGGGAACGTCCTCATGAGGGGAACTTCATCCTTTCTTTCCACACAATTTTGCCCTTTCCCCTCATCAGTTCACTCTTGCCACCTCCACGCCCTTCAACGCACGCTCCCCAGCGCCAGCAGGAAAACCCAGGAGACCGCTGGCTAGAAATCCCGCTGGATAGTGCAGGAAGGCAAGTCCTGGCTGCCCGTCACCCCAGCCCATCCCTGCCATCAGTCGGCTGCTGGAAACGGGAGGGAGGCAGCAGCCCTGCTCCCAGTAACCCGGTTCGTGCACGTAGGTGCGCTCGCCTTAATGAGTGCAATTGAAGGACGCATCGATTAGCTAACCTCGTTTGTGCGAAGGTTGACACAAGGCAGATGACAACTGGGTACCTGCAGGATCTAATTAAGATGTGTGCGAGGCTGGGCAGGCAGAGCAGAGGGGATTGCTCATCCAGCCTTGCACTTGCCATCGGGAAAAATAATAGAAGGAAGGAATTGACTATTGGATTTGGCTAAAGGGCATGGATGGGGGCGGTGGGATCTCTTCCCTGGGTTGGGGATGCTGGGAGGAGGTGGGTTAGGTGCCAGGCAGGGAGCATGCAGAGCGGTGGGGGTCGGGGACAGGGTGACAACGGTGTGGTGCTGCGGGTGCAGCTGGGCATCACCCAACATCTGTTTGTGCACACTTGTACCCAGAACACAGGTATTTATCCTGCTTCCTGGGGAGAGCACATGTTGCTCCATCTATCTGCGTGCATCGCTTTCTGTTTCTATCCTGCATGGACCCGCTGCTCTCCTCAGAAGCATAGCTGCACCCATTTATCCATGTGTCAGATAAACTCCTGTCTTCTCTGCTCTCCAATTACTTTGCGATGCCCTTTCCAGCCCAGTGCTTCGATTACATTCTAAAGAACAAAATAAAACAACGTCACATTTTCTCTCTTTCACATGTTTTTTCCTTCCTTTTTTTCCCCCTTTATTTTTTTTTTCTCCTTCTGGAACAGTCTCACTTTGTAAATGCCTGGAAGCAGAAAAGGTTTCAGACGTGAGAACCTCAAGGCGCCTCTTTAAAGGTGCTCGGGGTGTTCGGGGAGAGCGACAAAACCCCGGACAATGGGAGCCCTGACGTCAGGCTCTATTTATACCTCCTCTGTTCACAAACCTCCCCGGGATGGCGCTTTTCCTAGAGTTTTCTGCTAAATGCCGCAGCGCTGGAGCCATCCCTGTCCTCCTCAAAGGGCACGGTTTTATCTGTAAGGCGTAACCTGGCAGCGCGTGCCGTATCGCTGGGGCCAGGCATCCGCAGGCGGCTCTGAATGGGCGGAATCGTGCTGCTGCGAGCTGGGTTGTGCCGAGGCTGGCAGCGGGGCTGCTGTACATGGATGAGGACCCGTGAAGGCATTTTGTCCCCAAACTGTGCTTTTAAAAAGGGTTGGGTTGAATGTAGGCCGTGTGTGTGTGTGTGCAAGGAGACATGCTTTCTTCCAAGCTGGAGGTTTAATTCAGCACAACAGGCACAGGTAGCAGGAGAAATCACCATGAAGTCCGAACTACAGCAGGGTACGCAGCGAGGGATGCCCCATCCTGCAGCGTGGGGACTGATGCCAACCACCCTGAGCTGCGGGATGAGCACAGGGAAGACACTGCAGGCCTAGGCCTGAGGGGCTGTGGGAATTCAGTCAGTGTGTTTCTGCCTCAGAGCCCAGCAGATGGGCAGCTGTACTCTGGGGATCCGTTGGCATTAGTCGGAGCAGTCAGGAAAGCTCTGCGTCAGGCTGGTGATAGTCCGTCTGGGAAACACTGCGAGTATTTGACAGGATTTTACTATTTCCTTGGAAAAAGATAGAAGAAAATGCTGCTATATTGCTTGTGAGTATTCTTTACGCAAGTGAATAAAGCAGCAGTTTGCTTGCAGGAGGGCAGCTCATATAAATAACAAACCTATGAGAAGGTTGGTAGTGGTCTGTGTCGCTGGGGATGTAGGAATTACTTCATTCTTGGTGGGGACAGAAGCAGCCATGGGCACGTGGATGAGTTTCACTGCGTAGAGCAGCCGTGTAAAGGCACCCTGATTGTCCAGTGTCACAAATGGGCTTATACTTCTTCAGGCAGCTCAGTCCCCCATCACAGGAGATCCTCTCTGCCCGAGGCATCGTGCAGACGCTCCACGTCCCCATGCCAAAAGCAGCGCCCAGGGAGAACCAGCATCCCTCGATACGCGGGAGCTGAAGGGGCTTGCTCAGGGCCATGCAGACAGTCTGTGGCAGAGCTGCCGAGGACTGTTTCCTCCCCCAACTATTTCCTGGTCCCGGGGCTCTGTGCACCCCAGATGCTCAGCACCACGTGGCCGAGCCTCTGGCTGGACTTCACCGAGTCTTTAGCACACGTGTTCACGCTTTTTGTTCTCACGTCAGGCTTTCAAGGGAGCGCTGATGAGCTCATACTGGTGCTCGGGGAAAGGCGATGTTATCGAAGACTGGTGCAGGTGTGACCTCAACGCCTTCGATGAGAACGGACTCCCGAACTGCAGCCCTCTCCCTCCGCCTGTGTACGTATCGATGGAGCCCTTCCCGCGGGTCACAGCCTCCCACACCAGCTCCTTTCCCGCAGGCTCAGCCCACGGGCACCTCCTTCCTCTCACCATCGAGCCCCGGGGCCGCAGCCCAGAGCTCCTCACTGTGTGACTGATGCATTTAGGATATCCTGGCTCTGGCTGTGGCCCTGGAAGGTTTCCTTATAGATTTTCATCACCTGATTAGCAGGGCTTGTAGAATGGGATTTCAGATGCTGAAAGAAATGGAATTACAGTGCAATTCATTGTGGCTTGTCAGAGCAAGAGCAAATCAGGAGCAAACTGATGGGGAATTAGCTGAGAAAGCAGGAAGACTGGCTCCAGTGATCCATGAGGAGCAGAACAGCTTCTTAGTGAGCCAATAACCTCAGAGGGGAGTCATTTCCCATCCTGAGTTCCACAAACACGCTTGTATCTTTGGAGCTGGACTCATAGCCCTGTACTTCATGGTGTTGTTTCTGCCTGTGCAAGGAGCAGCAGATGCCTTTGCACTAGCGCAGGCAGGAGCTTGAAGCTGCTCTACCTTCACCCCTCCCCACAGGGTCCCTGATCCATGCAGGAGCTCCTGCACAGCTGCCCTGCTTTTGCTCACACCTATCTGCTCATTTGCAGCTTTCCCCACACCCTCCGGCCTTGCAGACCCCTCCCCTCCATAGACCCAACCCTGCTGGGTTACGTGGAGGTTAAGTTGGGTCTGCCCCTGGGGCTTGGTTCCCATGTGGGGCTGCTGAGGGTCAGCAGTTCTCCCGGGAGATGAAGGCTCCTTTAGATGGGATGTTTGGGGTGGCATGGTTGAATGACCTGGGCTTCTCCAGGAGCAGGTAAGAACACATGTTGCGGTAGGCTGGACCCAGCTGAGCTTCAACCCTAAGTTCTGTGCTCGCCCATCTGTTCCTCCCTCGCGTCCCTGCCCTGTGGGTCTGTGCACACACCCCTGGGGACGAGTGTGAGCCCTGCCGGGGATTGTGCTGCTTGTAGAGAGAGATTCCTCCCTTGAAAGGCAGCTGATGGCTTATTTGGTTTCTTTCCTGTCTCCTGCCCAGCCTGCGGCTCTCCCCCAGTGTGGAGCCCTCCAGCACGGTGGTCTCTCTGGAGTGGCTGGATGTGCAGCCTGCCATTGGGACAAAGGTGTCGGACTATGTACTGCAGCACAAGAAGGTGGATGAGTACACGGACACAGACCTCTACACAGGTGGGTGCAGCTGCCAAGGGCAAGCTTCCCTCGGTGCCAAGGGCGTGTGGCGGTGCATCCTGTGTCCCGCCTGGCTGGGAGATGCTGCTTGTGTGGAGAACGGTGCAGGGAGCCAAGGCGTTATGTGGAGTATCAACCTTCTCTGTTCAGGAGAGGCTTCTGAAGGCTTCTGCGGATGTGAGTGTTTGAGGGGAAGGGGAAATGCAAAAATGTGGCTTGGCAGAAAGAAATTATTTGCCCTTTTTGGGTGGGAGAGCTGTGAGTTGGAGTTTCTGATTGAAGCAACTGTTCGATCTGATCCATCTGAAATGCTACAGGATGATGGGTGTGGGAGGAAGGTCAGCCCTCAACGACTCAAGGACTTTGTTGGTTTGTTCCAGTGAGTACTGCCTTGCATGCCAGCCTTCGAAAGGACACTTCAAGTTGCCTTGCACACCTGTTGAAGTAGCTGGTAGCCTGTAATATTTAGAGGAATCATTTAAGCAGCAAAAAACATTCCCAGGGGAACCTGAAACTTCTCTGGGTTGGAGTTTGATTTCCAGTTCAGGCTTGGACTGGGTGCCCTGTGCCTTGCAAACCTTTGTCAGCAATTCAGGCCGTGCTCCACGAGCTGCTGGGCAAGGTGGAGGGGCATGAAGGATGGGGTTTGATTTGGGTGAATCAATGGTGTGTTTCAGAAGATAGTCCTTGAGACCTTGGGTGATGCTACTGCTGCATGGAAAGCCAGGCAAAACCTCCTACTGCTTTTTGCTCCAGGATTTTGGATGACATTTGTTGGAGAGGCTGAGGTGATGTGTCATAGGCAGCCAGTGGTGTTGACCAAAGCAGAGGTTTACATTTGTGTGAAGGGCTCCACCTCCCAGATGCTGTCAGTACTGAATTTCAGCCCCCGCCCCGGTAAGGGAACAGAGGGAGATTTCTGTCCATCACTGGAGCAAAGCTCTGCAACAGCTACTGCTTCAGGTGATTAAAAATCTAATTTGATTTCAGGTGGAGCCCGGTCAGCTTCTGCAAGGCATGCATGTCCTGAATGCTTCAAGGACAAGGGACCAGGCTGAACATGAGGACAGGGCTGGTGGTGGAGGGGGGAACCTTGCTGTGCTCCTGCAGTTTTGCAGGGGCTTCCTAGACATCCTGGCAAGACGTTTGTCTGCGTTTCTCCATTGGGAAGGCATCCCAGGGAGATTGTTTGGAGCCAAACTGGGAGTTGCGCGCAGGCAGCCCTTAGGTCTTGGTCAAAAGCTGTCTGAGCTTGTGGTGGTGGCTTTTTCCTTCTCCTCACTAATTTTATAAGACCCTCTAGGCCAAGCCCTCTGCTGCCATGAGCTGCCACAGAGCCAACTGCTCCAGCTCACAGCCATGGGGAAGTTTTCACCCTCTCTCTTCATCTCAGACCCATCTATTCTGCTTCTACAGCCTCTCTTACCACTGTATCCAAACTTTGTGCTACAAGAGCTGGGGTTTTTCTGCTGGAGAGAGCCAGAGCCCCACATCCTGGGGGAGCCCGTCTGTTTTTGGAGACTCCCCCACTCCCAAGATGGAGCTCTGGTTCCTGGCTCATATGCCAGTCCTGTCCCACAGGAGCTTTCTCCTGCAGAGTCCTGCCAGCATCCCCTTCCAGAGCTGCCTGATGTGGCCATGGCCCCTGGGTTATGTTTCTGGTTTCACAGCATGGAAGGCTTGTTCTTTATCTTGGAGGGGTACTCTCCAGTAACGGAGAAAGAAAACAAGCCTCCAAAGGAGGGGCTTTGTTTTGGATGGGGATTCCAGATTGCTCACACGTCGGACAGGTGAGGCCAGATCGAGGAAACCTGGGGTTTTGCCTTTGAAGTGGCTGGATCTTTGCCTGGCAGCCAGAGTAGGAAATACAGATTATTATTATTATTTTCCTTTTATGACTGCCATGTGTTTGACAGGCGATTGAATTCATTGTGGGGACCTGCCCTCCCCTCTCCCTGCTTGGGTGGGGGGGAACGTCACACGGGACTGTTTGGGACAGAATTACCCCATTAACAATTAAAGAGAAAAGCCAATCCTAAATCTCTCCTTTTTTTCTGTGTTGGTTACAACCAAACAACATTCCTGCCTTCATTCCTTTCTTACCCTACAGGCCCCTAATGCCAGATGACTTGATTCTTGCAAATACCTTTGTAGGTTTGTGGAGATGCTGACTGCTCCAGCTCAAAAAGGCTTTGCTTGGTATGGTGCTTCCCCTGGCCAAAAGCCCTGCCGTGGGTCTCCCCTCGACACCTTCATCCTGCTGCAGCACATCCATCACATCTGAACAGCATCCAGAAAAACAGTGTCAATCCCAGAAGGGAGAAGCTTTGGGGGCAGGGTGTGGAATGTGAAATTTGGATGGCTTTTGATGGATACTGGCAGATCTTCCTTCCCCATTGTTCTCCTGCCCGAAGGCAGGTTGGAGGACTTGCTCCCGTTGCAGGGAGGTGCACCATGGGTATTTGCAGAGTGTGGCAGAGCTGAGCTGGGGGGATCCTGCAAGGTTTGAGGGTTCCTGGGGGAGCTGCCATTCATCCCTTGGACCTCTTGAGCCTAGTTCATGGAAAGATTAATTTGTGCTTGTACATTGGTTTATTCGTTTGTTTTATTGTAGTTGTAGCTGGGATTTGTTACTGGGATTCCCGGCATTGCTGGGGCTAGAGCTGTGACAACCTGCTTTTCAGCCCCATGGCAGTCTAGATGGTACCTGACCCCTGCCTAACCTGCCTTCTGCCTCCCTCCTGCCCCTCAAAACCCTTCAGTCTCTCACCCTTGCAAAACGCCTTGGCCTCCCCCATGCCGTACAACTGAAAGGTGAAGCCTTTCTCTTCAGCTGGGAAATATTTGTTCCTATTCTTGGAGCAGAATCACGATGGAATTTTGAGGCTGGTGTAACGTGCATCCCCTCTGCTCCCTGCCACACTCTGTGCGGGGTGGCGATGCCGCGGGATGGGGCGGAAGGAGCCGGGAGCTCGCTTGGGTTGGCTGCCCCCGGCTGTACGTGCTTTTTAAAGAGGTTTATTACTGGTGCTTAGAAAAACACAGGCCTTGGACCATCTGAGGCTAATAGGAGGTGAACTTGTGTGCGAAACAAACCGCGCTTTCAACACCAGCGTGCAGGGAGCGAGCGGCTCTGCGCTCGGGAGCCAGCAGAGAAGACGGAGAGCAATTACATCCCAAACTGTTTATTAAAACTTGTGGAAATTACTCATAACTCCATGTGTGTGACGGCTTTGTAGTTGAGTGATGCTCTTTGTTTGAACATGGGGCTCTCGACGAGGGTGCGAGCGTGTGTGTGTGTGTGCGCGCGGCCAAGCCCGCCAGCGCATTATGTCATGGACGAAGCAGGCGCTGCACTTGAGAGAGGAAGAGGGAGAAATGTGTTTTACAGGGTGAGGTACAAACTGAAATGGCTGTGAACATCTGGAACTGATATTAGGCTTGGAAAATGTTTTCTGTCACTCCAACACTCCTCTGGAGGAAGGTTTCTGAAGTTAAGAAGCTCCAAAGGGGAATGAGGGGGAGGGACAAGGGGATAACATGACCGTGGCGCAAAGGGCTTTTTATGTCTTGGTTCTGGCTGCCGGAGCCAGGCCATATCCCTGCCTGTGCTGTATCACCATTGCTTATCGTGGTGGCCCTGGCTTAGAAGGTCCCCCCGTGGGAGCTGGGCCTGAGACCGTCCCCCTTGGAGCGCTGCATCGGCCAGCCCATGATGGGTCAATGGACAGAAGGATCATTTCCCTGGTTTTAGGGTTGGGAGCTGAGGTGGGAAGCCTCCCCTGAAAGATGAAGGGTGTAATCTTTGGGTGGCAACAGGCAGGCCCCTGCCTGGTTTAACACCGTCCCTGGGAGGGCAGACCCACCCTGGGGGCTGGTGCAGGTTGGGGCGGCTGCCGTGAGCGTGCAAAATGCAAGGTTTAAAAAGCGCTTTGAATGTGTTTGTAGCACACGCAGCAGGCCTGGGGACAGCTGGGGGAGGACAAGGGGCTGGGCTTGGGCTGTGTGATGGGTTGGGGTCCTTAGGCTTGGCGGGGGGCTGCATCGCTTCTGGAGTGGTGGCCGTGTCACTGCTGTGATGCTTTGTAGCTCCGGGAGCAACTCGGTTCCTTCCTTAATGTTCCTCTCCCTGGTGCAGTTTTCTTCTCCTCCTGCCCACGTCTTGTTTGCTGCTGGGTCTCTGAACATCTGTGAAGGGGGAGACTTGGGGGTGGCCACCATGCGCCTGCAAAGGGGATGGTGGGGAGGCCTGAAGAGGTGGTGGTTGGAGCATGTGAGCTGTGGGAGTGTCTGGAAGCACTTTGCTCATGGTAAGTCAGACCCTGCATGCTCTGAGGTAGAAATGGGCTCTCCCTTGCTATGCAGATGGAGGAAAACCTCAAGATGCAGAGATAAAATGCCTTCTCTGAGGTCACAACAGCTGGGCGGTGAAATAACCTCCACACAAGACCCTCAACATCAACGGTACTCACTTCTGAGGGCAGAGAGGGGTGCAGGTTCTGGATCCTCCCAGCTGTGTTCCCTGCCCTGTGCTCACTCCTCAGCCAGGACCCACAAACTGAGCACTGAACTGCACTGCGCTTCCCAGTCGTTCCCCACCTTCGAGGTGGTCAGCACCGTACCCGTGCAAAGCACGTGCCATAGCTGTGCTCCTCGAGTGTGCAGCCTCCTCCTGCTTGTGCTCTGCTGTCCAAGGGAGTGGGACTGGGAAGATGCAGAGGAGCGAAGCGTCACTTGCTGTCACTACGGTTGAGGGTGACAGTGGGTGCAAAGGCCACGTTGCTACGCTGCGCTGCTTGCTCTGTGTTGCTGCTAGCAGAGCACAAAAGGATTGTGAGGCTCCACCTCTCTCGCAGCTCATCGTTTTCTGTCGTGTTCCACGCAGATTCTTACCCTGTGGTTCCCTCCCTTTTCTGTGATACCATTTCTGCAGCTCAGCGTGTGCCAACAGCTGAGTCCATGTGGTTGGGGGTGTTGTGGGGTGTTAGCTGAAGAAAATA